GGCTTCCCAGGTGGCTCAGTGGCAGAGAACTGAACTGCTGATGCAAGAGACACAGGTGGGAAGACCCCCTGGAGTGGGAAACCTAATCCAGTATTCTTGCCTGGAAAATTCTGCGGATAGAGGAGCCAGGGGCTACAGCACATGGGGTCACAAAGAGTCCACAGGTCTGAATGACTGAGCATGCAAGACACAGAGATCTGTGAGGTTCAAGTCTTGCCCATTTTCTATTGGTTTATCTGTCTTTGTTTACCTATTAATCTATAGTTCTTTATAGAGTTTATCAGAAGTCAAAGGCTTTTCTGAAAAGGACCAGACAGTGAGAACCTTTGGCTCTGTGGGCCTACTCAAATCCTCCGCTATAGCATGAAAGCAGCCATAGTCAATACACGAGTATGCCTTTGTGCCAATAAAATTTCATTTATGGACAGTATAATCTGAATTTCATAAAATTTTATGTATCATTAAATATTATTCTTCTGATATTTTTCAACCATTTAAAACCATATAAACTGTTTTTAGATCACAGGCTATATAAAATAAATGGGAAAAAAAAAATAAGGAGTTAGCAGATGTGGTCCATAGTAGTTTGCTGACTCCTGGTCTAAATAAAGATCTTGTCAATTTATATGTTAAGTCTTCTCAGGGGTTTATCAACGTTGTTATGCTTTACAAGCACCAACTTTTGCCTTTGTGGAAACACCTTATTTTGAATGTCTTTCTATTTCATTAATTTTTGTTCTTATGACTACTTTCTTTTTTCTGTTTTCTTTGGGTTATATTTGCTATTCTTTTCTCTTTTAGCTTTTTTTGAGATAGATACTTATTTAAGCATGCATTCTATTAAAATACAGCTGATTTACAATGTTGTATTAGTTTCTGGTGTACAGCAAAGTGATTCAGTTATATATATATATACTTTTTCATATTTTCTTCCCTATGGTTTATTACAAGATATTGAATATAGTTCCCTGTGTTGTACAGTAAGACCCTGTTGTTTTATGTATAGTACGTTTGTATCTGCTAATGCCAAACTCCTAATTTATCATTCACCCCTCCTTTCTCCTTTTATAACCATACGTTTGTTTTCTGTATCTGTTGAGTCTTTTCTAAGTTCATTTTTATCACTTTAGCTTCCACATATAAATGATATATGATATCTGTCTTCCTCTAATTTCACTGTGTACGGTAACCTCTAGGTCCATCCGTGTTGCTGCAAATGGTATTATTTCATACTTTATGGCTGAGTAGCATTCCATTGTGTGAATACGTGTATACATATACACATACATATTAATACATATACATATCACATCTTTTTTATCCATTCATTGAGATGAATATTTAAATCACTAAACTTTCAGCCTTTCTTCCCTTCTAATATATGTACTAAGTAAGAGCTTCATAGGTGGCTCAGTAGTAAAAGAATCTGCCTGTCAAAGCAGGAGACACAAGAGACATGGGTTGGATCTCTGGGTCCGGAAGATCCCCTGGAGTAGGAAATGGCAACCTATTCTAGTATTCTTGCCTGGAAAATTCCATGGACAGAGGAGCCTGGCCAGCTACAGTCTATGAGGTCATAAAGCATAGAACACAACTGAACACACATAAGACTATACACTTCCTCTAAGCATCCCCTGCGTGCTACATACTTAGTTGCTTCAGTTGTGTCCGACACTTTGCAACGCTATGGTTGGTAGCCCGCCAGTCCATGGGGTTCTCCTGGCAAGAATACTGGAGTGGGTTGCCATGCACTCCTCCAGGGGATCTTATTGACCCAGGGCTTAAACCCAGGTCTCCCACATTGCAGGCAAATTCTTTACTGTCTGAGCCACCAGGGAAGCCCCGAGTTCTGTCATTGATTTCAACCTTAATTCCACAGAGGTCAAATCCATAGAATTTCAATTTTCATAAATTTGTTAAGATTTGTTCTATGGTCAGTATATGGCATATTTTAATAACAGTTTCATAGGCACTTATAAAAATAGTTTATTCATTTGTTTGGTGCAATATTTTTAAAATGTCAAGTCAACTTTGTTAATTGTGTTGTTCAGTTTTATATGATGACGGTTTGCAGTTTTTGTTTGTATTTACTTGCTTTGTTCTACATATCCTATCTACTATGGAAGTGTATTAAAATCTATCACTTGAGACTATGGGTTTGTTTAGTCTACTTCTTGTAGTTCTATCAGTTTCTGCCTCTCCTGTTTTGAGATTACGTTATGAGGAAATACATATTTGGGCTTCCTGGTGACTCAAACAGTAAAAAGTCACCTGCAATGCAGGACACCTGCCTGGTTTCAATCCCTGTGTCGGGAAGATACCCTGGAGAAGAAAATGTCAACCCACTCCAGTATTCTTGCCTGGACATGACCCTAATGGCAGAAAGTGAAGAGAAACTAAAGAACCTCTTGATGAAGGTGAAAGAGGACAGTGGAAAAGCTGACTTAAAAATCAACATTTAAAAATTAAGATCACGGCATCTGGTCTCATCACTTCATAGCGAATAGATGGGGGAAAAGTGGACACAGTGACAGATTTTATTTTCTCAGGCTCCAAAATAACTGCTGATGGTGACTGTAGCCATGAAATGAAAAGACACCCTGCTGCTTGACAAACAGGGTGAAAAGCTGTGACAAACCTAGAGAGCATATTAAAAAGCAAAGACATCACTTTGCCAACAAAGGTCTGTCTAGTCAAAGCTGTGGTTTTTCCAGTAGTCATGTACAGGATGTCAGGGTTGGATCATAAAAAAGGATGAGTGCCAAAGAATTGATGCTTTTGAACTGTGGTGCTAGAGAAGACTCGTGAGAGTTCCTTGGACAGCAAGGAGATCAAATCAGTCCATCCTAAAGGAAATCAACCCTGAATATTCTTTGGAAGGACTGATGCTGAAGTTGAAGCTGCAATATTTTGGCCACCTAATGCAAAGAGCCAACTCACTGGAAAAAGACCCTGATGCTGTGACATTGAGGTCAGGAGGAGAAGGGGGTGACAAAGGATGAGATGGTTGGATGGCATCATTGACTCAATGAACATGAGTTTTAACAAACTCTGGGAGATAGTGAAGGACAGAGAAGCTGGGCATGCTGCAGTCCGTGGGGTCACAGAGAGTTGGCCATGACTGAGCAACTGAACAACAACAATACATATTTAGAATCACTTTATTTTCCTTCTATATTAACTCTTAATAATATGAAAAGTCTACCATTTCACTGTTCACTTTCTCTTAGTCTACCTTATTCTATGTTCCTTTTCCTTTCTTTTCTTACCTTCTGGAGAACTTTTTATTTTTACTTTCTTCTATTATCTTGTTATAGTTAGATTTTTCTATTGTTCTTTCAAAGCCTCCCACAAAGATTACAGAACACATCCCTGCCTTATTAGCCTCTAATATAACATAGTACTTTTACCATTTCCTGGACATTTTAAGAATCTTAGAAGACTAAGTCTACATCCTTACTCCTGACTTATATATATGTGTGTGTGTGTATTCTATTTTAAATCCCATTTAACATTATCATTCTACATAGTCAACATCCACTTAGATTTACCCAAATATTTAACCCATCCTTTGCTCCTCATTTCTTCTTCATCATCTGAACGTTCAAGAAAAACATGCTTATCTGACATGATCCAAGCCATCAATGTTTTGCCTCATGATTTCTGCATCCAAAGTTTTATTTAAAACAATATTTTCCTGCTCCTAGGTGACAAAGTTATCCTCCTATACTTTCTTCTACTAACTTGACAGTCTGTAGAGTAAATGAGATGGAGTTCCAAATAAGATGGAGTTCACTAATATTTTATATGTCCAGTTCCATCGACACAGAGGCAAAGAAATAAACTGGTCATTCTAGAATTGGTCTAAACCTACTTTCCATCCAGCCATAGCAACGGCTGAGCTCAAGTGAGGTAATAGTTATATAAACTCTAAGACTTGCTCTTTTGGTTTTCAGAGGTTATAAATCCACCCACAGATAGCAGTAGAGAATATAAACATTCTATGCCTCTGCCAGCAGAGAACCCCAATGTGCTCCTTAATTCCTATCAGAGTAGGAATGTAACTACTTCCCACTCTGAAAATCACAAAATGTACCAAGAGAAAGACTTTCATATAAAACATGAAACCACCCTAAACCACACAGCAGGAAGCAGTTTATCAAATATAATACACTTGGAGACAACTTGAATGTCATGAGCTAACATATACTTCCACATATCCAAGCAGTGTCAGATTTCCCTAATAGTAACAGAGGTCTTCAAGATTTTTATTTCAAACAAATATTTGCAGACAAGTCATAGGAGAGAGAGCAAATGTTCCTCTGACAGTACACTTCCAGATGGAGGAAGAGCAAGGAAGATGGTGAGGTTATGTGTATATGCCATGGCCATTTTCTTTGACTTCCGAATCACAGAACCTATAAGAGAGATGCTCTGATGGTCAGCATTAGTTGAAAAGAAAAAAAAAAAATCACAAAATCAAACAGGTGTTACACTGAAAGCCACAGCTCTCTCCTTTCTGGGTGATCTATTCACCTGAAAGGTGGGAACACCATTGCTTAGGATATGTGGTTCTTGGTCAGAGAAAAATAAAGCATTCTGAGACAAGAAAAGTGATCTTCCAAATGCCCCAGACTGCACCCTTCTCTACCTTGTACTACAGATAACAACAACTAATTTTGAGCTTATACCATATTCCAGTCACCATTCTGGGAGTTTTACAAGTATTACTCTTCTGATCCTGAAAACAACTCCAATGAGGTAAGTACTCATTATCTTCACTTTACAGATGAGGAAAATGAGGCTCAGAGCAGTAAATCTCCTATAGTTCTACAGCTAGGAAATACAAGACCCAGCATTTGAGCCCAAGCAGCCTGGTTTGAAGCTTAGACTTTTAACTATTATGCTGTATTTGCCTCTTCTACATTAATGTTTAACAATTAGAAAACCCATAAAGTACAACAGTATTTTTTAAATTTATACAATAAATATTTGCATACCTTGTACTGTAAGCTCTGCTTGAGCTTCAATGGTCTCATTTCCATTATCAGCTATACACAAATAAGTCCCAGCATCATCCTCGGTGACATCACTGATCTCCAGACTACCACCTGCCAGCAATACCAACCTTCCAGAGCTGCATTAAAAATATTGATGTTTCAGAATGAGAAATATGATACCTGAAAAACTCTCTACATAAAACAGATAAAACACTTATATTATTTATACAGCTACAGATGGACTGAGACCAATGTAAAATATCAGAATTTACTGATATTACTGAATTTACTTCAGTCCAATTTACTTTGCTCATATTTCACATGCATAAATATCATAAACACAAATCAAAATGTTACAATGAATTATCTCTGACACTAATTATTCCCAAAGGGATACCACTGTTGTGACCAATTCCACTCCCCACAATCCATCCCTGCTTAACCACTCCACCCAGTTTTTTTTTTTTTTTTTTTCAAATTGTGTAATTCTGAAGTCTGGTTTCACTCTTGAGAGTCACACCAGCACAGAGATGCCACATTCAAATGACTAACAGAGAGGGCAACACGTCAGATCAGAAACAGTAAGTCATGGGGTCACAGTGCCTACTGAAAGTTTCCAATGGTGGCTTGGCGAGGAAAGTGAGGAAAAGAGGAAGGGAAGGGAGAGAGAAGAATGGTTGACAGAGAGCAATTTCCTGGGTGTGGCAACAGGGCACAAACTGGCCACCAGCACACCATTATCAGCAAGGATGCTAAACATTACTGACCCAACTCTACATGACTTAAGTCTAGTTAAAGAGAATATATATTTTTTAATTTTTGTGCAGGTAAAGTATTTTTATAAAGGAATTTTGCTATCTGTAACATTGTAGTATGTTACATTGACATTATTTGAAGTAATCCCTGGAAAGTGAAATAGCTACCACAAGAAAATCTCATTTCTTGTCCCACTCCCTCCCTCCCTTTCTCTCTCTCTCAAAAAGTATATTTAAAATGAAAGCCAAATCATTCTGTAACATCAAGGAAGAAATCACAAATCAATATTCTGATGAAATTTTTATAAAGTTAATAAGTTTAGTTAAATTTAGAGACTTTGGAAAGTTACAATTTTACTTTTACTTTAAGGTTTTGTAACTAACTGGGCTTTCACAGGCAGGTTTTTCTTATAGCTCTTAATATTGTTATAGTTCCTGTCTGTATTTATGCTCAACAAAAAAGTTCTGATTACAATTGGCTTTTCATATCAATTCCTGATGGGGAAGAAAAATCAGAGGAAATCACTATTCAGTCTGGACCACGCTTAAAACAATTCTCTTTGTAAATAAAGCACTATACTGACTTAAGTTTTAGTACACTGTGAATTTGAGTAGTCTTCCTGAATCCAACAGGCAAGATTAAGTTTCTGTACCGAGAAGGGAAAACCAGAATCAGATGTTGTGACTTCTCTAAGAAATACTCTGAAAGATCATGACTAAATTTATCAAGTGGCCTTCCAATGTGAACTATCTTAATTACACCCTCAAATTACAACTTCATGTGATAGAGAAGCTAGACAACATACAACAGAAGAAAGCAAGAAAGAATGACTAGGATAAAAGAAACAGAGATAAAACAAGGTTTGGGTGCCTCACAAAACAAGGCAAATTTACAAAAATTAATATCCTATATTTTACTACTGGTCAAATTTTCTACTATGTTTCATAAATGGAAAACAATATTCATAAAGGGTAAATCAGCCCTACACACATATGACACCCAGCTGAGTGGAACATAATTTGAAACACTAGTTAGTGTAGTACTTTTGAAACTGAGGTATAGCAGTTTGTATCTAATAATTATACTAAGAAACATTCCTGATGCTTGCTATGCCTCATATTTGCCATGAGTACAAGAACAGTAGAAGTCAGTCTTTCTTAACGCAGCTGATTTTTACTTTCCTTAAAAGAAGTCTGGGAGGAAGAATGTCCAACAGCTTCTCAGAAATGATTTAAGGTGTTCACGTAACATATGGTGGCTTATAGAACAAAGGAAATCAAGCTCTTAGAGCTCCAAAATTCAAAGATGCAGTCAATAGAGACAGTAAGTGGAAAAGTATTCATGGTCAACGGACCCAAACTGAGCACTGCTGGACATAAGGAGTGTATGTACACATGTGTGTCTGAGTAACCAGGGGTCAGTTGAGGAGAATATGGTGTGCTAAGACCTATTTCTTTGGCCAAAGGGAAAGGCTTTTGAGCAGATTAATAACATGGTCAGATTTAGTGAAGAAACAAGTAGAAGTTGTAAAGTCATTGTAATGGAATTAAGGAGAAGAGGATGAATCATGGCAGTAACAATAGGGGTAAAGAGAAGGCATGAAATGATGGCCACTCTTTTGAAAAGCTGGATGATTAAGTTAAAGAAAGGAATTTATTCATTCATTTAACAATTATTTTCTGGTGTCCCTATGTCTGTCAGGTAACAGCTGGGGTACTGAAAAAAGCAAAAACAAAATCAGTGCTGTCGTGCAATTCAGAGGGAAAGACAGACATAAAAAAAATATAGTAACTCTACACAACGGTAGAGTTATGGGCTTCCCCGGTGGCTCAGACTGTAAAGAATCTGCCTCTAATGCAGGAGACCCGGGTTTGATCTAAATTACCCTGGAAAAGGAAATGGTGACCCACTCCAGTATTCTTGCCTGGAGAATTCCATGGACAGAGGAGCCTGACGGGCTACAGTCCATGGGGTCACAAAGAGTTGGACACTACTGAGCATCTTTCACGACACAGTGGTATACCAAAAGAATGTGTCAGAAAATCAGGAAGAGATTTCACTGATAAAAATGACCTTTGAGCTGAGATCTGAAGAATGAATAGGAACTAACTAATAATGAAAGGGAGGAAAAGATTTCAAAAAGCAAGTCTAGCACATGCAAAGGATTATGACAGAAAGGATCACAGTGTATCTGGGAATCAAAAAATCACAAATATGGCCAGATGTAAGAATTAAAAAAAAGCAAAAATATGAGGATGGAGCCAGACTACACAAGGCTCTGATAGCCATTTTAAGAATTTGAGTCCTTAACTTGAAAAAAATGGAAGTCCATTAAACATCTTTAAAAGTGGGTGGGAAGTTGACAATGATGTAGTTAAGACCAGGGCTTTGAAAAGACTGCTATGGCAAGGGCATTTGGAATGAGGCCAGAGTATATGTGAGGTTAAAAGGAGGCTACTGAAGTAACTGACATGACAATCAACAGCAGCTTGGAATAAGGTGTTAGCAACACATGTGAATTTCAGAGATATTTAGGAGGTAAAATGACAGATAGACTGGATGGAAAAGCTGAGGAAGAAGCACACTTCAAAAAAGACTCTTATGGTCAGGGCAGTAAGTGTGAAGGGGAACACAGAAGAAAATGACTTGTTTAATTTAGGTTTTTATGTGCTGTTATTTGAGTGAGAGACAGGTAAGCTTTTAAGAGAGAAAAGAGAGGTAGCCAATGGAGAGGAAAACATCTGAAAAGAGGATTCACAAAAGTACTAGAGAAAATGGAAAATAAAATCCAGAGCACAAAAGAACTTCTTAGACACCTCCTCCTCTAACACAGCAGGTGAGGAAGGGGAGGTGAAAGCTAATCTTACATACACTCTCATTTGCTTTTTTTCCTTAAACTTTTTAGAGGTACCTGTAGATTCACATGCAGGTCCAAGGAATAATACAGAGAGATCTCATGGACCCTTTACTTAGTCTCCCTCAACATAAGATCTTGTGAAACTAGAACTAGGAGACTGACATTCCCACCACCACAAGGATCCCTCCTGCTGCTCTTTTATAGCCATATCCACCTCCCTCCCTCTCCCACCTCCTCATTAACCCCTGGCAACCACTAACCTGTTCTCCACTTCGATAATTTTGGCATTTCATGAAGAATGTTACATGAATAGTCACATGGTATGCAACCTCTGGGGACTGGCTTTTTTCACTTAGCATAATTCTCTGGAGATTCATCCAGGTTGTTGTAATTGTCAATAGGTCATTCCCTTTATTGCTGAACAGTAATTCCAGAGTATGAATAGACATTGTTTACTTAATCCTTCACTCAATGAAAGACAGCTGGGTGGTTCCTAGTTTGGGGGTATTATGAATAAAGCTGCTATAAATATACACGTGCAGGTTTCTGTCTGAACCTAAGTTCGTTTTCAGTGGGATAAATGCCCAGGAATGTTAATGTTAGGTGATATGACAGTTGCAATAAATTTCTTCAGAAACTGTCAAACAGTTCTTCTGAGTGGCTGCATCACTTCACATTCCTACCAGCGATGCCAGAGTGATCTCGTTTCTCCACGTACTTGACAACATTTGGCATTGTCACTCTTTAAGTATGCAGTGGTATGTTGTGGTTTTAATTTGCACTTCCTAATGGCTAATGATACTAAACAACTTTTCCTGTGCTTATCTACCATCTGTACATCTTTTTTTTTTCCCCATCTGTACATCTTTTTTGGTGAACCATCTATCTAAGCTGACAGAGGATGAGATGGTTGGATGGCATCACCAACTCAAAGGAGATGAATTTGAGTAAGCTCCGGGAGTTGGTGATGGACAGGGAAGCCTGGCGTGCTGCAGTCAAAGGGGTCGCAAAGAGTCGGACACCACTGAGTGACTGAACTGATCTGACTCTTCTGTCTACGTTCTAACTGGATTATATACTTCTTTAAATACTGAGTTTTGAGATACCTTTACACATTTTAGATACTCCTCCTTTGTTTGATATATGGTTGGCAAATATTTTGTCCCCACAAAAAATCTGTAGCTTTATCTTTTCATCCTCTTAACATGGTCTTTCACAGAGCAGAAGGTTTTAATTTTCTTGTTTAGTTGCTAAGTCATGACCTATTCCTCTGAGACCTCACGGACTGTAACCCTCCAGGTTCCTCCGTTCATAGTGTTTCCCAGGAGATAACACAGAATTTACATGCACCCAAAATGTGAGGCATAGTAAAATTCTCATTATATAATATTAGCTCCAATTCTTTCCATTTTCCAGAAAGACTGTGTAAAATTGGTTCTAACTCTTTCAACACTGATAGAATTCTCCAATGAAGCTATGTGGACTTGCAGACTTTTGGGGAGAGTTTTAAAATTACAAATTTAA